GGAACTTGTACCGTTATTATATATCAAGGGAACGTGTTCCGTTTGTACATATCAAAGGCAAGTGCTTCGTTATTTTATATCAAGGGAACGTGTTACGTTTTTTTATATATCAAGGAAACATGTTCCATTACTATATATCTAGGGAACGTTTACCGTTATTTATTTTTAGAGAACGTCTTCCGTTATTACAATTATCACTACAGATCGTAACGACTGTTGAGGCAACTTGTTTCGCTGAACATATCTTGTCAATGTATAAAGTTCCCGCAGTCTCGTAACATGCTTTGTTATCTATGCACCATGTTTCGTAACCACATATCGTGCTACATTTCGTCATATCAATTTGCAGCGTTATCAAAGTCTTAGCATATCTCATGTACTTATTATCTAGCCAACACAACGCAGATCTACCTAACGCATTACGTTAGCACGCGCCAAGACAACGCATTACGCTACCACGGGTCTAGACAACGCATAACGCCACCACATGTCTAGACAACGCATTTTGTAACGACGTGTCCACAGACAGCGCATTGCGTTACCACGCGTCAAGATAACGCATAACCTTACCACATGTCTTGACAACGCATAACGTTACCACGGGTCTAGACAACGCATTATGTTACGACGGGTATAGACAACGCATTGCGTTACCACTTGTCTTGACAACGCATAACGCTACCACGGGTCTAGACAACGCATTATGTTACGACGGGTATAGACAACGCATTACGTTACTACTTGTCTTGACAACGCATAACGTTAACACGGCTCTTGACAAAGGATAACGTTTCCACGTGTCAAGACAACGCATAACATTATCCTACAGGTCTTGACAACGCATAACGTTACCACGGGGCAAGACGACGCATGTCGTTAAAGCAGGTCTAGACAACGCTGGGTCTGGATAACGCATTACGTTACCTAGTGTCTAGACAACGCATAACGTTATCACAGATCTGCCCAACGCATTACGTTACCATGTGTCTAGACAACGCATAACGTTATCACGCGTGAAGATAACGCATTACGTTACCGCGTGTCTAGGCAACGCATTACGTTACCACGGGTCTGAACAACGCATTCATTACGTTTACAGGGGTCTGGATGACGTTGCAGTTACCACATATCTTGTCAATGCATAACGTTATCACAGATCGAAAAAATGTATTAAGTACCCACGGGCCTAGACAACATGTCCAGTTACTACAAATCTAGGCGACATGATACGTCTCGACACTTCCAGGCACCATGTTAGGCGAATGAGTCAGCCATCCACTAGTCGCGACAGAGTTAGACCACGTGCACACCACCTGCGATACAAGGTCAGACCTGGGCCCACGTCCACAAAGCAACTTCAGCAACACGACTCCCACACTTTAACGTAGACATACAAGAGTTGCATCGCTGCGGTATCTTTGTGCAGGTGTGCCTTGGAGTACGACAACCATTGGGACCAGGAGGTGTCAGTCAGAGTGTAGTCGACATGTAGAAGTGCAGTACGCTGGTCGCGGGTTCAGTAGAGCCAAACTAACGTCAAACCTATACAGGGCTCATTCTTCACCCGATCAGTCGAGCGTCATTTCATCATGCTTACTGTTTATTAGTACAATGTAGATTACACGTGAATTGCAGATTCGGTGAAGCCCAAGGGCCATTCCACACGGAGTCGTCCGGATAAACTAATTTCCGGATAAATGAATCACGAGTATGTTGTAACGTTCCAATAATGGACGTACCAACAGATTGTCCGAACGGCAGGTTTCCGGTTTCACGGGGTTTCACTGTACATATATACTTAACGAATGATCACCGCGTACATAATACGCTGATAATTTAGGTTTAATTGTACATTTTTCACATTCAAATAGTCAAGAGAAATCAATCCAGATATACATTTATGTATAATTAAGTTCAAGATCAAACGGCCAGGACTGAAATTGGATGTATATTCATGATAACGTCTTATTATATACGGGGGCACGAGAGGCCCTGCCGTCTAAGGCGCCACAATTGCTGTGCCGAGTTGTGTCCCTTGGGCACGCCAGTAACCTATAATTGCGGATTCCAATCGCGATTCGCCCCGGTTTTGTTTCTAGGTTTGTCAGCATCGTACCGCGCTCGTGGTTTTCACCAAAGTGGTATACATCTAAGACCTGCATCACTTTGGGCTTTCCTCCAACATTAAACTGACGCACGGTGATAAAACTGGAATACTGTTAAAAGCAGCGTGCAGCCCAACTCACTCACTCTTATTATATTTAAGGAAATATACTTTTTGGTGTGGTTTTACGCCGATTTTACCATGGCAATATTCCAGCCACATTTCTGCAGTGGACATTCATGTTTCATGATGGCCACTGTAATGTATTGATAATAACCATCTTGATACATCTCTGCGAAAATGTCAATATGGGCACAAAGAGGGCTTTATTTACGTACTTATATAATCAACGAAATTTAAGTTACAGTTTCACCAAAACTTAAAGGATAAGCAAAGGCTTCCAAGGTTTATAACAGCAAACTCAGTGTTTAGTGTACATGAAATGAACATCGTGCGGAGGCTGATAGACGGATATGACAGACCGCTGCAGTGTACTTGTAACGCGATGATGAAGGGAGGAGTGATGGGCTAGCTTATATCTCCTTACCACTGCCAGAAATCAATACCTTCAGATTAGATTGGACACGATTGCCCAGCGATTCTCCGTTTTCTTATAAGTGCACACGGTTTGGAAGCATTTCCAGGGAGATAGGTCCTAGGTACAATACACTTCTGTTGGGGAAAGAACTTTCACCTTCTATTTTTGAGCTATCGGTAAATGTTAATGAAAAATTGACCGTTCGTTTGATGAATGGCTATTGATATTAGATTACATTGGTTGAAAAGCTGTCGTGTTCATATGTATGTATAGTGTGTGTGCTTATTTGTAAGCCATGTTTACGTAATGTACGTTTGCGTAGCTGTATGAAGGGCCCAGTCGCCCTGAAATTTGCCGTACAGCGTTTTTATTTCTGGGTTGCCAGAATCCTATGTCAAGCGTTTGAAATCTTGACTCACCATGTTTGTTTCTAGGTTGGTCAGCAACAGACCCGTGTCTGCAGGTTTCACCCAAGTGGTAAACGTCTGAGACCTGCATCACTTCCACATTGTACAGATGCTCTATGATATAACTGAAATACAGTTCAAAGCGGCCTCCAACCAGACTCACTCTCTCACTCACTCATAGCTGTTTGGTTGATAATGGAGGATGATGAAGTCTAGTGGTTCGAATGTCATAACAGAGACCCGGGTTCGATTCCTTACATGGATTAAACGTTTAACTGTACGGTGTCCAATACCTGATTTTGTTTGCATAAAAGCTAAAAGCGACGTAAAATCTTAGTACCATTTACTCACTCACCCCAAAAGTTAAGTTGATATGCATAAACAGTTGTATCATATGTTCTTAAATGTATAGCTATACAATGTATATTAATTTTTGAAACGTTAGTTATGTAAAAATTTTTTTGTATATATATATATATATATATATATATAATATATATATATATATGCATACATTTTTATGTTGTGGTCCAGAATCGAAGACACAGGATTCACAGACAGACACGTATCTCAAAGCTCACTTTCCCTGTAGCGACATTTATTTTTAAACATTGTTTTAAATATCAGACGCATTTTCTTTCAAAAATCGATGATTTCATTTCTTCAATTCCACTTGGTGATGAGTTGGACCGGCAGTTAGAAAATGAACTCGGCAGTTTGAATACTGATAGTAAACGGGGTTCAATGGTTATGTTATTTATGTATTGAGATATCTTATGTAAATGTTCCTAAGCGTATGTGTTTGCCGTTACCAATCATGAATCAATGAATCGATCTCTTAATGGCGGTGGTGTAGCCTAGTGTCAGTGGGTACATGGCGTGATAATTTCTAAAAGCGGCGTAACACCATATTCACTCACTCATTCACTCACTGTGTATATATAAAAGACACAATGTTTCATCAGGAATATTTCTCCCCAAGAGATTTGTATCTGAACTGTTGTTTAAATGACACTGTCGCGTGTTATTGATAATGCCATTTTGCATGTTCATTTTCGTACTCAATATTTTCAAATTGTTTTAAGACCAAATACTATGTTTAAATCAACCCTGAACATATCCACCAGTATTCAAAATACACCTTAATGATGTGCTATAGTGAACTCCTTACGCGACCTTATTCCATTATTCTATTTTTAGCCGTATCGCTTTGAGTTTTCCCTATTGTTCAAAGTCCGACATCCTCGCACTGCGCACGGTAATAAATGTCATATTTTAAAATTTGAATTCTCCTATCAAACAAAAGTTAAAGATAAAACTATTTTTAGCATGACATTGTGTTTCACCTTTATACACAAACGTGTGTTTTGAATAATAATCATTAAATGTTTCTGATACTCTGAAGGTCAGTGTTCGAGATAGAGTTGTGGCGTATCTGGTGAAAATATACCTAATTTTATTCATGTTATTGTACCTAAATAATTAGCACGTCGAAAAGGTACATCAATATTTCAAGCGAACAAAATAATTTGATGACCTGTTAAGAATTTTCAGAGTATTGTTCAAAAATATACTTCTTATTTTTTATTAAATTAGAGATTCCTTGGAGACTAATGCGAGCCTACTTTGCTGCAATTCTAAATGTCGTATCCCTTTAAAATATAAGACAATGGATCGAAATATATCCAGAAATTGCTCATCTTGAAGAAGAGTTTGCTATTTAAGGTCTGTCGAAATGACAGTATCGTTTCTCGATAATCGACTGAAGCATGATAAGAGAGTCAATTATTAGCCTTCTGAGTGAAAGTGCGTCATTGAGGACTCTCAAGGCACATTAACAATTCAATAATATGATTACGGTAACACACGATGACCCTGTGAATATTGATTCAGAGATTGTCATCAAACTTTGCGAAGGTGTAATTGATAGAATTTCTCTTGAAATTGACAGGTGTGTTTACAACATAAATGCAGAAGAGGTCCTGTTATACATCACGTTGACATGCTGTCATGGTGGACATTGACAGGTACTGTTTTAAAACTGACAAAGTGTCGAGTTTGTAAATATTTACAGAAGGGCTGATGATAATCGCTACATTTCCCCCATTTTTGCTTAAGTGTACACATGTAGAAATCGACCCGCGTCTAGTACATTGGCAGCATATAAAATGTACATGGCATGCTGTCAAATGCGCGGGTAAAGACGCATTTATGATCTTAAATCACTTTTAGTATCAATTATGAAAACCTTCGGCTTCTCTTAGCTTTAGTATTTAGCAGTAAAACGTTCCTGTTCCCGATATATGCACGATAACACTGAGACAACATACGGAAAGGTATCTGTTAAATGTACTGTTAGTTCATCTGAGATACCGTTATCTGGTATGCCACACAAACCAATCTGTGTTCATTAAGTGATGGACATTTGGTGGACATGGATAATACAAGAATTGATGAAGATTGCTATGTGGGGCGGATTCTGAACATTTACAATCTCATACAACCGAATAGACTAACATTTAGTCTCTGAAATCTTATATTACACAATATCCTTCTTGACTCTAAAAATAAAATAAAATTCCCTATGTTTTTATGTATTTGTGGAATAGAGCTAGCTTGAGCTGGCTAGACTTGCTTTTGTATGCATTTCTAGATTATTTATTTTCATAAATTTAAATATATTCCACGGTCATGGTGCAGGACTAACAACCGAAATGTACAACGACATACAGAGAGATACATATGATGGCATACACATCGAAATGTACAATGTCATACACATCGAAATGTACAATGTCATACACATCGAAATGTACAATGTCATACACATCGAAATGAACAATGTCATACACATCGAAATGTACAATGTCATACACATCGAAATGTACAATGTCATACACATCGCAATGTAGTGTCAAACACCTCGAAATGAACATATATATATCGCACAATGCCATAATATATATTAACATGTAAGTGTCATAGAATCAAGATGGTCAATGTCATAAATACCAGTATGTGAAAACGCCTGAGACTTTCACTGATAATGAATACACGAAGTTGGAAATCATATTCGCACTATCGGACTACAAGTTCGACGACAGTAACACTTACACCAACCTGCTTCGAAAGTTTTATAATCTAAATTCAATCTAACAAATAATACGTTAGCCTAAGTCCATGAACAGTGTCTGAATTTCGCACAGGACACTAATAACTAGTCTAGACTATGATGGCAAATAGTGACAGATCCTAACCTCAGGTGTACGGTAACATCGACAGGGTATTAGAAGGTACACGAGTGAGGTATCTTCAGGTATGACAGCACCACGTGGATGTTCACACGTGAAGTAGTTCCGTTGTTTTGTGTTTGGGGATTTATTTGTTCCATATGAGTCTCACCCCTTGGTTTCGTCGGTTTTGGTGAGATATCTGCCGAAGTGGTATCAGCTGATAGTTTAAGGTTAAAATTAATTGTTGTCGTGGATTGATATTTTGTCCTAATTTTTACTATGTGATTACGCTGGGTTTGGTCTGTTGTGTCACACTGGAACACTTGTTTCATGTTTGTTTGTTTGTTTGTTTGTTTGTTGTTTAACGCCGCACTCAGCAATATTCCAGCTATAGGACGGCGGTCTGTAAATAGTCGAGTCTGGACAAGACAACCAAGTGATTGACATCATGAGCATCGATCCACGCAATTGGGATATGATGACATGCATCAACCAAGTCAGCAAGCCTGACCCCCCGATCCCGTAAGTCGCCTCTTACGACAAACATAGTCGCCTTTTGCGGCAAGAACGGGTTGCTGAAGACCTATTCTACCCCGGATCTTTACGGGTCTTGTTTCATGTCCACTATGGGACAATAAGGACATGAACATGCCTGTGCCTACGTATTTCCCTATCCGTCATGTTTTGGTGGTATGGTTATACTATACTGAGACATTTTTTTGTTATTTGAATTCTGGTAAGAAATGTGTATACTTTTAGTTATATTTTTGTTTTGTTTTTTGTACCTGGTATTTTCTAATATCCCGACTCTCCATAGAAGCCAGTGTGTCTCTAGATTTGTCATATACGAATTACCGTGACGTGTCATGTCGTTGTTGGTTTGAAATTGGCTACATTTCCTGACTAGAAGCCTCCACTGGAGCTACCGACACCTGACTCACTGACAGCTATCGACGACTGGCTAGAGATGTATATTGTTTGTGTGTCAGAAACAGACGGACAAGTTGGACTAATTACCAGGGACTTATCACTATCAGTTAGTGTCTGGCCGAAGACGGGTGATTGACAGCAATAGATTACAAGCTGTACTAATGAACTGATATAGACAAGACCCTCGCCATGCAATTTACACATCCTAGACGGACAATGTGTAATAGGATACCAGTGTATTAGAATTAGCACAGCACTTCGGCCACTATGGCCGTCTATGGCTGGCCTCGTTAAGCCACCTGAGGAACGTGAACTGATTTTAGATGATTGCTGTTTGGGAAAGGGCTTTGAGAAGAAGTGAAGACGAAAGGGAAATAGTAGCCTAGCTCCAAGGCTGTACTGAGGGAAAGGTCCATGGATATGTAGTAATTCTATCCTCCCGATAGCAAGTCTAGATATGTTGACAGTAGTAAGGACACCAGTCTCTTAAATTGTTAGTTTGTTGTTTATGACGGCGGTCTGTAAATAATCGAGTCTGGACCAGACAATCCAGTGACTGACATCATGAGCATCGATTCACCCAATTGGTTACCGATGGCATGCATCAACCATGTCAGCGAGCCTGACCACCCGATTCCGTTAGTCGCCTCTTACAACAACCATAGTCCCCTTTTATGGCAAGCATGGGTTGCAGAAGACCTATTCTACCCCGGATCTTCACGGGTCCAGTCTCTTATAGGGAGAACTTATTATTATTTACAAAATCTAGAAATTATGATTTAAACTAATAATATTTGCTTTAGGGACTTGTGCAAGTCAGGGGAAATGGGGGAGGTTTGCATTCAAACGGGGGATGACGGGGGAAGGGGTGCGAATCGGAACAACTCTGTTTATGACATTTTACGAGAAATCTATCGTCTTCGTTTTATATGTGTTCAGCACGATGGCGATACGTTTATATTTCATTACGGTTTGGGCCAAAGACACTGATGATTAACCAGCGGAAGACCTTATATATACGGCTATAAATACCAAACTCTTTAATTTCATTTTGTTTCTTAAAACCGGTGTTCATTAGTGTCGTGTTCTATCTGGAACAGAAATACAAAGAGCAGGGTTAAATATCATCCCTTAGACACTAGGTCGGAATTGAAACTTGACGTTACATGAAATGATCGATACGGTATGACAACGTAACCCTAGCTTGTTTCACATGTACAAAACGGTGCTTGTTTCAATGTCTCCATTTCTTGAACATGAACGGCTTAACACTGGATACGTGATCCTGTAGTGTAAGCCCTGTCTCTGATTGATTGGTGTTGGACAAACAAATGGCAGTGGATGTCAATATCAAAGGTTTTCGATACAGGATACCCGTTATTAATCATGTTATTTAGTACAGATTACAACGTGCCGTGAAATTGACATGCATTTGTATCAAATTAATAACGTAGGCCCATATTAGGCCATCGTCCGTGCGTTTCATGTTATTAAGCCACTAAATGCTTCAAAATGTTGAGGCACCAATTGAGAAATAGTTCGATGATTTATGACTCAGTCTGGGCAGACGGAATAGGCCAGTTATATCTGCAAGTTATTGAATGACGTTAGGTGTTCTTCAGTGTACCTAGGATGCTATATATTAATAACGACTGACAGTTATAATATTTTAATCACCCTGAAATCTAGAATCAAGGACTCATTACATCGCAATTCGATAGCATGGATCCGAAAGTATTAATATTTCGAACAGTACTGTACTTTTCTCATTCTATTTAATTTATAATCGCCAGTTCGAATCCAAGATCCGTACTAAATTTGTCATTACCTTTCTAGGGATGTTCGCACTGTGCCCATGCTAGTGGATTCGTTACGTCAGTGCGGTAAACGTGATGAAGGTCTCTATCGTAGACGTTTACCGCTTTTTGTAAAACTCATGAGCACGGGGATGGTTCTGGCAAACCTTGGATCTTAATAAAGGCGACTCTTCTTTACAATTGAGATTAATCAATAAATGTGTTTTGCACAAATGTGAGAAAGTCTTCATCATTAAACACATCTATGAGGTTGTATACAGACGCGTTGGTTAGTTTGAGTCCTTGTTTATCACCATTTGCCTGTGCTCCGTTTCAGCGTGACTCATTCCATTATAAAGAATTACTACTTCTCAATCTTTCCCATTCATGAAGCGACTGGTAATTTCACCATTATCCGTGTATTACCGTTGTCTTTTATGGCTGTCTTGTGGTCGTATGAATAATGATTTTCATGTTAATGCTCAATCATATCCCATAACACTTCATATTTCACGTAAGGCATCGTTTTTAAATGCACGATGCATTTCTTATCTTTAGATAATTAACGACTCGTCTTATGCTAAACAGACGAAGTAAAAGTTAAGCGAATTTAATAACGAGTGTTGTTCTACAATCGGCTCGGGATACACAAATGAATAATTAAAATCTACAGATCTGTGCCTGTTTTTTTCGACATATGATTTCTAGAATTTTAAATATATTTTTTTTTAAATTCACAAATGACATTACGGAGCAGCAACGATGAGTCAACCACTGCACGTGGCAAGTTCCCCGGATGTATAACGCTTTGTCTCTTTAACTGTTTTAACCGGGAGTAATGAAGGCCCAATCTGATTAATCTCTACCGTGAACGTTATGATCGCAACAGTGTTGATCTCAACTGCCAAATTCTCGTTCTTCGTGAAATTTGAAAGTGTTTTTTTCTTCATTTTTTTTCACAAAGAGGTCGGTCATTGTGATGAAATACGAGGAAACAAGTGAATTGTTTTTCCATCGGATCCGTGAATGGGTAGAAGTGTGACTCAATGCTAATAAAACTGTCCGTAG